ATATATATATATATATATCCTGCATCTCCGCCACAACAGCGAGAGTTTTTCTTTAGAATTGATGGAATATAAATTGAACCGGTGGCATTTTTTGTCCCTTACTTTACATGCATCACCCCCTCATTGAATGTAGCAACAGCGTGGGCCTGAGTCTCAGAGCAAGTTCACAAAGGTGCCGCAGCCAAAGGATGAAGAAGAGGGCTATGACGAGGAAGACGAGGAAGAGCATGGTGAGACATTGTGTGGAGCATGTGGAGAGAACTATGCCTCCGATGAATTCTGGATATGCTGCGATATTTGTGAGAAGTGGTTCCATGGAAAGTGCGTCAAGATCACTCCAGCTAGGGCCGAGCATATCAAGCAATACAAGTGCCCAACATGTAGTAGCAACAAGAGATCGCGGCCCTAAACACTCTCAGGATCTGTCCAAAACTCACACTAACACTTTGTTTAGGTTTTGTTGCTTTCTTGTTTTAGGATCACTAGGGGTCTGTAGTTCACTTTGGGGCCTTTGTATGAATGCTTGGTTTCCCTTTTATGCTATCACTCTAGGACAATAATGTTTTGCTTTCATGTTGTGTATGCTTTTTCTTTAATCCATCTGTTTCTGTTAATCTTCTAATCCATCTGCTAGAACTTTGGGCTTCTCCATTACCCATTCTGTGTTCACCAAGGGACAGAATCAGTATTTTGATGCTAACCCTTCCATGTTGATACCCTTCTGTTGCATATGGTGCCTTTCCTTTTCAGTATCTGTTTTAAAAAGATCCTTGATGGTGTGTTTTTCAAGGCGTTATGGACCAAGCTCTAGGGCCTTAGCCTTAAAGCCCCGTCTAATATGGGTATGTGGGTTGCACGTGTGCTGATGGACGTGTTTCTTAAAGTTGATTTTTTGAATCCTGCTCAAGATATCTCTATATTTTAAGGGCACGATTGACTGTGGAAGATGCGGCTTCCAAAACCCATCTTCCACCAACTGTAGCGCTCCCATATTTGAAAATGGGAGTGTTATGCTATTTTGGAAGGCATAGATTCCCGTGGCTTTCAGAATAGCATTAAATTCTAGATGTAAATACTTCCATAGCTCACTCTGGAAGTTGATGGACCATGTGGCGGCATACAAAGCCATGTCTCTAAGTACTTTGCCCTCGAGCGTGATTACTTTTAGATTGGGGTAGTCTTAATTTTAAAGTGTTTATGGCCAAAAGCCTCTTGGAGGGTATATCTGCATTGGGTTCGTACACATGAAATGTCTGTTGTTGAAACTGCATAAAGCTCTATTTTCAATCAAGTATTTTCAAGTTTACCAGTAGAAATGTGAGAATTACCCCCTCTGGGGTGATTTATGCTCGACAGCATTGGAATTTTTGGTCCATCAAAATCAGAATTGCATGAACAAATTTCTTCATGATCAAATAGTTTGATTAGTTTCATTTGACCTTTGGTGCAAGGTCACAATTATTTGTAGTCATATGATAGTTTGGGTGTGTCATAAAGTTTGAGAAAATTTATTTTAAACTTTTAGCTTGTTCAATGAAATAAACACAACCACTCAATATTTTACATTCAAAGGTTAAGATTAATTATGGTCATTTTGTAACAAAGATAAATAGTCTCATTGTATATCTTTTTCATATAATTCCAAGGAAGTGGCCGTACCTTGTTGAATGGTTTGGCCGTACCTTGTTGAATGGTTTCTTTTGGTTTTAGCTTACAAAGAATATGAATATCATATAATATGCACATCTATATTAGGTAATAGATTTGGTCCTCACTTGGTTAGTATCCTTTTTGGGTTGTTGCGTGTTACTAAAAAGGAGAGAGAGAAGTTTCAGTTCTTTTACTTATGGGGTTGTTGAATTTTATAAAATAAACAGGAAAGTTAAAAGAGAGAAAAATTGTTGTACGTTTACTTATATTTGAATGTTGTAATGGTATGTATCTTTTTTTTACTGGGTTAAGTTTCTTGTCTCTTTGGTATAGAGAGAGAGAGAGAGGCATATCTTCTTGGTTTTGTTTTTTGTCTCATACGTGGGGTTGTTGGATTCATAAAATAATTGGTAAGATAATGAGAGGGAAATGTCTGGCTTCCTGCAGTTTTCTATGTTGGATTACATGAAGAAATTGACGAGATCTATCTATCTTATATTGACTGGGTTAAGCCTCAGTTATTTGCCAAACAGTATTAAGGACAGCCATTCGTGCATCATCAGAATACAATTTTCTCCTTAAGTAGGTGAAATGCATCTTTTCTTTTAGACTCTTTAGCTCGTCACCAACCTTTCCCGTTATCCCTTCTCTGTCAATTGCATGGCCGAGTCAGCCTTTGGCCGGTCGAGGTGACAATGCATGGAGAGAGAAAGAGAGAGAGGGGGTGGCAGCAATGGTCTCGGACCTGGACTTGAGAAGTGGACCCCGATTTGGGTCCGGGTATGTGTCCAAAAAATTGGAACCGGCGTGTCGGATTGGGTAATGTTTTTTGGGGCTCAATTTATTAAACATATTTAAATATAGTTAAATATATAAATATCTTAATTTTAGGTCAAATCCAATGACGTATGGACCTGGACCTGTTGCCGCCACTGTGTATGTGAGAGAGAGATAGAGAGAGAGAGAGAGAGATTATGAACCAAAATTGTTTTTAAGTTATGATTAGAATAGGTCAGGGGAATGGATAAAAATTAAGAATTAATACTGTACAAGGAAAATGCACTTTTTTCTTCAGGATGTGACATTTTAATAAACTACACTACGAAAATCTTTTTTTTTTCAATTTGGATGTTTGTAGTACGTTAAATAAAAAGCTTGTCTAGATGTACTTGTTATTATTGATAATTTATTATTCAATAAAATTGGTCCGAATAATAGACTGTTTCACAGTGTCTATTATAATGTTATTTGAAACAAACTTGCTGGTAGTTTTACGCGTAAGCTTATCTTTTAAAAGTCTTCTTTTTCTCTATTCAATGTAGTTTATTAAAACTCACATATTTTTTAATTAAAATTGTTGAGAATAGTTAGAAATAATCAAAATTTAAATAATTAGATGATATTATATACAATATAAGATATACACCAAACAATTAATAAAAATAATACCATCCAAAGTACATTAATTTAAGAAACATTAATTTAAGATAAGAATTTTTGTATCAGTATATTATCATCCAAACAGCCTCTCCTTTTCAAAACTTAGCGTAAATATCTCTCTCTCTCAATGTAGCTTAAATCTCTATCTCTCTCTGACACATACACACAAACACAAATATGGTTACGTACACGCATACGTTCTCGTGTTTTCAACAAGAATATAAAAAATTGTACGTAGAAAGAATTTCCCATGGCTGTAGCCTTGAGTTCTGCTGCTCACCCGAGTCTGATCGTGGAAATTTTGATTTGAATTTATTTTTGAAATTATTAAAATTCGATAAAAAGGGCAGTTGCGCAATTTTTAAGCTTGGAATCGCCTGGCTCTAGGTCTTTTTTGGCTCAGGCTCAACTTGATTCGTATTTAGGCCAGACTTGAATCGAATGGTGTTGAATCGATCTAGACCAGAGATTTTTGAAACATGGGTTTTAAGATATCGTGCTGTCTCTTGTGAGGAAAACGTTCATATAAAGGTCAGGACTTAATCAATCAAATTTAGGTGCACTTCAAAATATCATTAAAAAATGTTGTTTTAATGTCGAAAAATCTTCAAATTGATTATCTCAATATCAAAATGTATGGACAAGAGAAAAAATAAATTTCAAGTTTTAAAAATAGTATATCTTGTAATACATTTTCTCGATCGTCAATTTTCACTATTTTCAATTGTTCATACATTTATTTGATTTACACTATTTTTTAAGCTTTAAATTCTATAATTAAAGATGAAAAACCATCACAATGATTTTCATTAGTAATGAAAGAAAACATTGTAGACAGAATTTGAAGGTGCACCTTACTTTGATTTAGAGCCTCAGTCTTATACAAACCCTAACCGCCTGCAGTTAAATACCGTACTCTAACTTGGCAATTTCTTCTCCCTATTTTTTCCTTGGCATGAATTAGTAGTGGTTCCATGTGATGTACGAACCCACGCTCTTCACGCACAAGTAGGGGTCACGATGATGGCCCGATCACTATCGAATCAACTTACAAATAAATTCAATTATTAATACTGTAGATCGATATTTTACAAAGGAACCAAGTACTCGAAGATAACGAAAATGCCCCCAAACTATCTTTACAAGTTTGGTGCAAACAAAAAACAGTGTGTTCGCGTTAACTCTAGATATCTGGTCTAATCAAAATCGGTAAAGAGTTTGAAAGAGTTAGAGTTTGTCTTGGTGGTCAAGCGAGCTGCAGCCAACTAATTTGACAATTTTTTACCTGATCTAAATTTTGCTTTGGACTAGACCGACTAATATACTAATTTGTAATCCTACTATCAAAATAGCCAATCCAATCTTGATAACTGTGATCTATTCATTTAATCTAATCTTGATAAGTGTGATCTATTCATTTAATCTGTGAAGAACACGAATATCACCACATGTTGCTTTCACACAAAAACGTGTAATATGGAAGAGAGAGGGACAGTTGCAGAGAAGAACAAACGGTGTCTCCATCCCAACGAGTTCACATTAAGAGAGTAACAGTCAAGAATAAAGAGTGATGTACGAGATATATTTGTGTGGTTCATAGTTCTCCCAACGAGACAGAGAGAGGAGAGAGAGATTTCAAGAGAGAGAGATATTGATTTTTTTTTTTTGTGGTTTGTGCATATGTATTTTTATTTTTTTAAATTAATTCAAGGTTGCGGAGGTTATACCACAAGGTTTGGATGAGTCCATGTAGAAATGAGCCCCTCATAAAAATTTATTTTTAAGATGGGTTTTTGGACTCAATTTTTAAGGACATATAATGTCTAACATGGAGACCAAAAATATGAGAAAATTAATAAATTTTAAAAATAATAATTTTATAAAAACTTATATTAGTTACTAACACTATAGAATATTTTATAATAGTACTTAATGAATTTTGGAAACTTATATACCCTTATTTTGTACATAGAACAATTTTTTAGTAAGGGTATTTTTTGTCATCAGAAGGATATTTGATAATGGTACTCAACAAATTTTGGACATTTATATCTCCTCGTTTTGTATGAATAGCATATTTTTAGTAGGGGTATTTTTGGTCATCAAAAGGGATGTGACATCCCACATAGCTATGTGGTGGATGATGTCACACCCCTCTTAATGACAAAAAATATTATCATTAAAAAAAATATTGTATTACAAAACAAGAGTATATAAGTGTCTAAAATTTGTTGAGTACACTTATAAAATGCTCTATAGCTTGAACACCCTAACATAACCCATATTTAAATAGACCACCCATTTGCATCAATCTCTAAGATGGATACTTTATACCTTGGGGGACACAAATGAAAATGCGTCCCTTGATTCATGGAACAATTTTCCTTGTCTAGAACATTGTTAGCAATTCGCAGATATAATCGCGTTCTTTTAAAAAAAGCGGCGCTTTTTTGAAAAACGATTTAATTTGCGACTTTTTCAATAGATTGGTAAAAATACTCGATTTTTTCAGGAATAAGTCTAAAACACGACTTTTTCAAAATTTGAAAAAATCGTTTC